TTCTTGTTTGATTGTGGCTTCTATCTTAGTTGAAATTGGAGAGCTTGCTAATGATTTCTCTTTTTGCAATTCAGCATGTAATCCGGTTAGCAAACGTCCCAGCACATCTATGTGCCAAGCGTGCTTGCACGTTGAATGTGACTGATAGCTGGCTTGAGGACACTCCCGGCTTCCTCTTGACTACCCTATTGGCTGACTGACAGGAGAACGCCTTCGTTTGAATAAAGCTCTTTATATTGCCCGCAAAAAAAGAGGCCCTAACGATCGAGAAATTCTTTAGGACGTAGTGGTAGTTAGCGAGATCGTGAGGTGATTAGAAGTATTTGGTGGGAGCTTCTATTGGACCCTCTTTACGTCCAACGACACGCAGACGCACAAAGGACCCCGTGACTGGGCGGTCCACTGACAACGAATGAAAGGAAAGCGCGAAGTAAAAATGGTAGAAAAAAGTGAGACGATGCCAGGAATCGAACAACCGACTTACGGGTCTAGAACCTATGCCACTAGTCACTCGAGCCGTCAGCTACTTTCAATTTAATGGAAATGTTATGTGTTTAAGTTCTCACCTAAGAGCCACATTTAAAATAATCTTTACACATTATCGAACGTTTCTTGAAAAATTTGGAAATAAAATTTAAATGCCGAATATTCTTTCGGAGATGAAAATAATTTTTGGAATTCCAAACCTTTTTTATTCCGCATTTTTTTAAAATTTGAATAAATTTCGAAATACCAAACATTCTTTTAATATTTGAACAATTCTTCAAAATGGAAACACTTTTCAAAACTCCAAACAAAATTAGGAAACATGAAAAGAAATGGAAATCTGCAAAAAAAAAAAAAAATACGCAAGCATATTTTGAATCTGTGAACATTTTTCTAAGAATGATAACTTTTTTGCAAAGACAAACAATGTTTGAAATATTGGAACACATTCTGAAATTCTAAATTTTTTTTGAAACAATGAGAACAAAAATTAAAATTCTGAACAATTTTTGAACTCCACACTTTTGAAAAAAAGAACAACATGAACTAAATTTGAAAACATGAGAACAAAAAGTTAACATTGCGGACAAATTTTCAGAGCAATTATTAAGTTTCCGAATTTTTTTGAAAACATGCAACTTTTTGAAAACAGAAACAAAATCTAGAAATTAGAACATTTTTGAAATTTTCAAACAAATTCTGAATTTTTGAACAAATTTTAAAATGAGAACAATTTTTAAATTTTAATATTTTTTGAATTTTGAACATTTTTAACAAACTTTGCGAACAGAAACATTTATAGTCATTTTGACGATTTTTTCTTAAAAGGCAATTATTTTTGAAATTTGTGAACACTTTTTGAAAAAGGAAAAAAGTTGAACAAAAAAGATAAAAAATACATAGGAACAGAAAAAAGAAAAAGAAAAAAGAAAAAAACCATAGAAAGCCGAACCAGAAAAGAAACAAAACAGGGAAAAACCCGGTTCAGGGAACCTTCTAGAAGATTCCCAAAACCGGTTGGACGCACTGTGTAATCTGGAAGTGGGCCGGCTGTATCTCGTGTCGCTGCTCTGTGCGATTGCCCGACAGTTCACCGCAGCGAGCGGCGAATAGGGTTTTCCAATGGGACTGTCTATTTGACATTTGACTGTTTTTCAATTCGAAAACAGTCAAATTTCTTGACCAATCAACACATTACACCTCTATGAGCAGAAAAATCAACAGAAAGCAAAAAAGAACGCCTAAACAGGTCGGGGGTAAACATCAAACCCGGGTCAGAGGTAAACATGTTAAATAACAGAGAAAGTCATCCAATACAAAGGTAAAAAGCACTATATTATAGTCAATTTCCTGATAAATCAAGTGCTGACACCTATGTCCAAATACCATGGACAATTGTATGCTTGTATTTCCAAAAAAGGGGTCGTGTGGCTAAAATCTGACCCGGTTCTAACTAATAACCGAAACAAAACAAGGCAACTATCACCAAACCCTCCTGGACCGTTGCCCACGCTCTTTTTTCCTTTCCTGGACAACAAATCACCTGACAAAGAAAAGGAACAAAATTCATCAGAATACTGGCGTCTCCCAGGACCCTCCTTTAACTTGCATCACACAAGTCATCTGGGAGGCGCCATGGCCCATGGGAGAGGGGAAATGAGAAGAAAGAGTAGAAAAACATCAGAGAGGCGTCATGGGAGAGAGGGAGTGAGAAGAAGGAAGAACAAAAACAAGTCAGAGAGGCACATCAGAGGGGCAAGTACCTGGAGAGAAGCAAGGGGGAAGAACATATCTGAATAATTGGTGGTGGACAAAGGAAGATCATCCAAGAGACGGTCCACAGCTCACGAAATGTCCTACTCCTTTTGATCACACTTCTATTGAACTCTTCCATGTTTTTCCTCACCCTGCTGCTCTACATACACCTGCTACATGAACTAGCCTGCAAAAAAACCATCATACAATCTAGTGAGAATTTTGGAATCGTCAGGGGAAAAATTCTAACTGTCGGAAGGTAAAACTGTTAATATTTCACTGTCAAAACACTACACCAACATGAATTCCAGTGTAATGTACACATGAAAAAAAACTTTGCTGCAGTATAGGGCAATGTAGGTAACATGAACCATGAGGAAATTACATGAAAAAAGTTGTGTTGTAGTACACATGAAAAAATCTTTGCTGCGATACAGGGCAATGTAGCTAACATGAACTCAGGGGAAATTACAGAGTTAGACAACTCATGACATTCATGGAAAAAATGAGATGAATTCCAGTGTAATACCTACATGACATACAATGAAAACTGGGGGAATATTACACTGTATTCCAGCATTATTTAATACAATTCAGAATTACAATGTAATTCCGGGGGATATTACAATATAAATTTGGGGTATGTATATTACAATGTAATCCTGGGGAATATTACACTACAAATATAGTGGAAATTACAGAGAAATTAAGAGGTATTACATTGTAATTCAAAGAGTTAAAATTCACCGGAAATTCAAGCAAAAGCTGAACAGAATAAGTAGAGAGATACATGCAAGTTCAGATGAAGTCATGAATACAGAGACAGACCTATCAGCATAAAGAACACAAGTCCTATCAGATGAATGCATTAATATTGACAATCAAAAGTAGAGCTTGTTACAGTGCTGGTACACATGGACAGTGAAGAAATGAATAATCACACTAGTGGATTACAATGATAATAACCAAGAGACTACACAGGATAATCACACAAAGCAGAGTTAAAATCCACTGTAATTCAAGCAAATCTGAACAAGAATGAAGCCCAAATACCAAGTAATACAGAGGTTCATCGGGAAAATTACACTACTTTGTTTAAAGAAGAAAAATTATACTGAATTTCTAGGAAAATTTACACTGCAATTCGGGGAATAATTACACTATAATTACATAAATAAAGCATGAAGTTTACACTGTAATTATGGGGAAAATTACACTATAATTACATAAATGAAGCATGGAGTTTACACTGTAATTCTGGGAAAATTACACTGTCATTTAAAAAAATGAAGCATTGGGATTACACTAAAACCTGGGCTAAATTACACTGCAATTCTAGGGTATATTACACTGCAATTACATAAAGGAAGCATGGGGATTGCAATGAAATTTTTGGATACATTACACTGTAATACTAGGGGCATACTACACTGTAATTTTAGGCTAAATTACATTGTAATTCTTGTGAATAAAAAAGATAAGTCATTAATTGTAACTAGATCAGAAAGACTCACATGATTCACATAGAAATTGAAAATAGTTTTATCAAAACCTCTATCATCACTAGAAAGATCCTAAACAATAATTCAGTCAACAAACAGAAATTTTAATAAATAGAAAGAAAGAATAAAAACGAAAATGAAAGTAGAGAACAAGACAAAAATAACTACCAAAGACATAGCATTAGAACCATCTTCCACAAAGTCATTAGGCACAAAAGGATCATTCAAAGAATCAGCCCTCTCAATAGAAGAAACTACCAAAACATCATTGTGAGAGACTTCCCGTAGTCTCCACATTGACCTAAACCTAACAAAACATAATACATGACAGACGAAAGAAAATTAAAGAAAGCTGAAAATTATAGAGTAAGGGGCTCAATTACAAGGGAAATCTCACAACAAATAATACATTGAAAGGCAGCAATCAGGGGAATTATAGAGTAATGGGGGCATATTAATATAGTGGAAGAATCACTTAAATACAGTGTAAAAACCAACCTAAATACAGTGAAACTCTGAGTAAAAAACTAAAAATACACAATAATTAGGGCAACTTACAATGAAAAGGTAGAGGAAGTACACTGCCAAGAACTGAAGATAAATTATATAGTAAGAATGGGGGATATTACAGTGCAAAACCACATGAATGCATGCAAAACATCTGATAAAAAATACAATGTAAATAACAAAGAAACTGGCGCAGTATTACACTGAAAAAATATACACTGCAATTTACACTGAAAGAAGCATGATAATTACACTGTAATGGGGGGAAATATTACACAGTAATTCTAGGGAAAATTACACAGTAATTACAAAATAAAGAAGCACGAAAAAAACAATGTAATTATGGTATATTACACTGTACTTGCAGGCTAACCTACAGTGTGATTCTACGACACATGAGAATTACACTGTAATGGGGGAAAATATTATACAGTAATTCTAGGACAAAATACACAGTAATTACAAATAAAAAAGCACAAAAACACACGCTAATTACGGTATATTGCACTGTAATTGCAGGGTAACCTACAGTGTAATTCTACGGACATATTACACAGTAATTATAGCAAAATTTACACTGAAGAAAGAAGCATCAGGATTACACTGTAATTAGGGGGAAAATACACAGTACTACTAGGACAAATTCCAGAGTAACAACAAATAAAGAAGCATCGGGATACACTGTAAATGCACTACAATTATGGGGTAAGTTACACTGTAATTATGGGTTAAATTACACCGCAATTCTGGATGGGGATACACTGTAATTCTAGGGGTAAGTTACACTTCAAGTCTGGAGTAAATATACACTGTAAAGAAGCATGCAATTCAGAGAGATTCCTGGACTGACACTACAACAACACTGCAGCCTAGTACACACAAATTCAGAGAGATTCAGGTACCGGGGGAAATGAACACCTACATCTAACACAAAAAATCATAATGAATTCCAGGGACTACAACAGCAAACATCAGCAGGCAGCAGCTAACAGCAAATACAACTAAACTGCATAAGCAGGCAGAAATCAGGCTAGATCATCTGCAACTACATCTAATGACAAAGGAACAGACACCCAGGCCGGCAGAAATAAAATTGATAGGGCTAACCACCGCTGCAACTATAACTTCCCCTACCTCTATATCTACATCAGAATAAACAACCTACGCCTGTCTCCACATCTACAAGCATGGGAGAATAGGACCACAACAAGCAGATGGATTAGAACCCCCACATACAACAAGCTCCTACATAACTCAGGCGAGCAGAAGGATGGGAAATGGAGCGCTAGGCATGGCGGACTAGAAACAAACACGACAGCAACATGCACCTACCACGGATCCACCGACAACACCAAGAATAGATGAACCATGGATCCATGGATCCAAAACTTACCTAGATCCGGAACTACACAGCCACAACACAAACAAAAGCACACAGGGAAACACGAGAGGCAAGGACAACCGACCGCGGCAGCGGGGATCGAAGAGAAAAGGGAGGAGAAATCGAAATCGAGCGGTGGAATAGCTCGGAATCGCCATGAACATAAGAAATCGCCTCCTCTCCTCCGCTGCTCGAGCTCATTCCCTTCTCCTTGCCTTATCAAAACAGAACCCTCCAGATGAAAGTGGAGACAGTGCCGGGCCGGGGGCGGTAACGGGCTGAGACAGGAAAACCAAACCCGAGAAACCAACACGCATCAACCCAAACAAGTGGAACGCCAGCACGAAGAAAAAAATCAACACGAATCTCTGCGTGAGAACAGACGGACACGGATTTGATTGACGACGAATTGAAAAACACTCGACTGTAAAATAGCAAAACCGGTTGGACGCACTGTGTAATCTGGAAGTGGGCCGGCTGTATCTCGTGTCGCTGCTCTGTGCGATTGCTCGACAGTTCACCGCAGCGAGCGGCGAATAGGGTTTTCCAATTCCGCGGGCGGCAAATCCTCGAGGAAATGCCCGCAGCGCCCGCGGGTGGGCCGGCTAGTTCACGGAAGCGCATGCTGCGCGTTGCTGCTTCAGGTTTTTCGTTCGTTATTTCTTTTTTTTCGGTTTCTCTTTTCTGGTCCTTTATTTCTTTTTTATTTTTTGTTTCTATTTATATTTCTATTCTTTTATTTTTTATTTTTTATGTTTTTCTCTGTATTATATAAATTTCATTCCGTGTTACCAAAATGTTCATTGTATATTTAGGAAATGTTCACGGTATATTACAAAAAGTTCATCATCCATTATAAAATATTCATCATATATTACAAATTGTACTATGAATATAAAGTATTCCCTATGTTGTTGAAATTTGTTCTGTGATATATTACACAAATGTTCAATGTGTATTTGAAAATTGTTTAAAGTATATTACAAATGTTCAATTCATATTCGAAAATTTTCAACTCATATATTTATATTTTTCCCAAAATGTTCATCATATATTAAGAAAATGTTCAAGATTAATTCAAAGTAACCCTAAAAAAGATTAATTCGAAGTAAAATGGAGGGTGGCTTGCTTTGGAATTGCATGATATAGTCTACATTGAAACTTGAAAGGGGCAGCTAAGTTCTCTTTTGATGAAATTATTGATATTTTTATCTTATTAGCAACTGTAGAGGTATGTTTTTTAAGTAATAAAAATGTTGCATGTTTTCATAGCGCCAAAACGACACAATACAATAAGATTATGATAGTTTACCAAACAGGCTCGACCCCCATATGTCCAAATCCTGGCTTCGCCCCAGACCCAACACACTGAATCACCGTATTTTCGGAACAAAGTTCGGACACAAAGGAAGAACGAGGTCTTGAAGAGAGTATGGTACTTCTTCCACCCGTTAAAGTAGTTCCCAGTTACAACCTTGTAGTTTGGCCTCTGCTTCACCAATGTGTGGTACTCCAGGACTGATGTATTCCTCATGTAGGTCAAGAAGGGTTATGCATGCAAGAATGTCAGTGAACATCGAATCAGCAGGTGAGAATCGCTCAGCTCTTCCTCACTCTGCTGCATGGACTCAGAGTCCTTCGATCTGTCTATGGTCTCATAAGCATCCGGAGATTGACATGGTACATGCTAGCTAAATCCGGGGCTTCAACAATCCGAGCAATCAGCACCTGACGTATGAACTTGGAGACAAATGCACGGTACCTACTTTAGTGGGGTGGGAGTTAGTGTGAACATCTTAAGATTCCAAAAAGGAACTTTCTACATCCATTGCAGAACCTCAATATCCACCGGCTGGATTCACCACTTAGCACAGAGATAAAGTGCCAAAGTTTAGGAAGAAATTAGAATAAAGGGCCCTTGGTATTTTCATGTGAATTTGTGATGGCAATGATGTCTGAATATTGTGAAGAAAGTGCCCAAAGTGTATGCTCTAAGTATGAACTGCTAGCAATTTGGTTAGATTCTACTGTAGTAAACTAAGATGAAGTGTTCTGTCCGCGCTTGGATGTATTCCTTCGATCATGATTTTTCCTAGTAAAATCCAAACGGCAGAGAGTGGGGAGTGATCAATAGAAGTAGAGAGTAATAGGCGGCCACTCTATACATGATTTTGCGATCACCAGATTGACATGCACCATTCATTTAGTTGAATTGATTGTTTTTCTTGAAAACTCAACTGATATAAATGTACGCAGTTGACCTCTCCATAGAGAATGAAATGAACTCCATTGACCACTCAACTGATGCAACTATTTAGGTGCTTTAGTCCTTTATTTTAGTTTATGCTCATAAGTTTTTCAAATATGAACCACTGAAGCCAATACCCCTGGCTCTCGGGTGTGGCGGTGGTCTTAAAAACTAAAAAGCCAATACCCCTTTTGTTCAAGATTCATCACTCGCGATAAAATATCATTTTCCCCTCACGCGCTCATATTTGTTTCATCATCCTATTTGAGTTGATCGTCATACTATAATGTTTTACCATATCATTTGGTTATGCATTTAATTTCCGAATCATGAATCGTGTCTTGGAAAAGTAGCCTTTTGAGGTTTTAATAAAAATCATGTCTCAGAAGTCCAGTAACAAATATTCACCTAGTAACACCTAAAAGATTAATTTTATGTAATCATCTGATTTGTTTGGTTAAATCTGTGTGGACATTGTGATTTCTCACGGAGCAAGTTTTCTGTTGTCATTTCCATGTGCAGAATCTACACCTCACGGCTCAAAAGTGGAGGTTGAATCAGCTGTCTTAAATGCTCTACCCATCAGTGGTGAAAATGATACGACGGCTGCAACTTCATCCGCTCCCTTTAGAGTTTCCTCCATGTGCCACGTTTCCACTGCTCTCAGGCTCTCTCGACTAGTCTTCTAGATCTCAGATTGTCTAAGTATGTGCACACATATTTATGATTTATGCATTAATCTATTCCGCAAGAAGAAGGGAAGAGGAAGGAGTGCTCAAGAACCACAGGAATGGAAGGCGTGGGGAAAACACTAAATATAATATTTGTACCTCCAACACTAGAGGTGAAAACAAATAAGTCTGGGTTTCCTCCATATTCCCATTCCTAGCGCTCTCAAGATCTCTCTTTCTTCCTCTTCTCGGCTTACTCTCAGTGCTTACAGAACACTCGAATAAGCAATCACCAAACTTGAAGTGTTGGACGAAGTGCTTCAGACTATAAATAGATTGTAGGTCACTTTATATAGAAAACGTTAAGAAGCACAAGCATTGAAGACTCGCAGTGCATGGGGCACCAATCTACATCCAATAACAATGGGGCCACACAATAATTGGGCCTTGTCCTATTTTCATGTACTCTTAAGTCATAGCACATGCAGGGAGATCTTCTACTTACCAACATCTGAAAGTTGATATCTCATTTTATCAAATTGTGCATTTATATAGAGCGGTAGAACCAAATGTTATGGGTAAAAAATAAGAATACTATGAAGCAAAAAAAAGTTAGCAAGTCAAAGTTGCGATCTAAAAATAATAATAATATGAACTTGTACAAATTAAACATAGAAAAAATACAAAACGATGGAAAAGAACATTCGAGTACAATTGGTACACTTCATTTTTCTTAGAGAAAAGGCGCCAGCCGAGCCCGAGAAGAGCTCGAACATAGCCCAACTTTGAATTAACAAAGCCATCAACCGGCCAGGATTACAAGGGCACCACAATACAACAGAGATGCAAAGCAAGCGGAAAGGAAGATACAAGGCACCAGGCAGAACAACACAAAGGCAACAGCAGAAGCGTCGATGCCGACAACCAGCATTACGCCTACACCGACTAGCCAACTAAGTACATTGAAGGAGGGTCACACCGAGCAAGTATCGAGCACCGGCTACATCCATAGGCCAAATTTGTGCAACACTTGAGCTATCTCCGCCATCACAAAGGGACCCTTGCACCTAGGCTCGATGGGTGCCACCCTGGTGAAGGAAATATGCCCTAGAGGCAATAATAAAGTTATTATTTATTTCCTTATATCATGATAAAAGTTTATTATTCATGCTAGAATTGTATTAACCGGAAACATAATACATGTGTGAATACATAGACAAACAGAGTGTCACTAGTATGCCTCTACTTGACTAGCTCGTTAATCAAAGATGGTTATGTTTCCTAACCATGGACAAAGAGTTGTTATTTGATTAACAGGATCACATCATTAGATGAATGATCTGATTGACATGACCCATTCCATTAGCTTAGCACCCGATCGTTTAGTATGTTGCTATTGCTTTCTTCATGACTTATACATGTTCCTATGACTATGAGATTATGCAACTCCCGTTTGCCGGAGGAACACTTTGTGTGCTACCAAACGTCACAACGTAACTGGATGATTATAAAGGAGCTCTACAGGTGTCTCCAAAGGTACATGTTGGGTTGGCGTATTTCGAGATTAGGATTTGTCACTCCGATTGTCGGAGAGGTATCTCTGGGCCCTCTCGGTAATGTACATCACTTAAGCCTTGCAAGCATTGCAACTAATGAGTTAGTTGCGGGATGATGTATTACAGAACGAGTAAAGAGACTTGCTGGTAACGAGATTGAACTAGGTATAGGATACCGACGATCGAATCTCGGGCAAGTAACATACCGATGACAAAGGGAACAACGTATGTTGTTATGCGGTCTGACCGATAAAGATCTTCGTAGAATATGTAGGAGCCAATATGAGCATCCAGGTTCCGCTATTGGTTACTGACCGGAGACGTGTCTCGGTCATGTCTACATTGTTCTCGAACCCGTAGGGTCTGCACGCTTAAGGTTTCGATGATAGTTATATTATGAGTTTATGCGTTTTGATGTACCGAAGGTAGTTCGGAGTCCCGGATGTGATCACGGACATGACGAGGAGTCTCGAAATGGTCGAGAAATAAATATTGATATATTGGAAGCC